CACAGATCCAGAATAAAGAGGAGATGGGGAATCTCTGGAAGAGTGACCTCAAACTTCTAGAGTTGGCTTTAATCTAAATAAATTCAAGTTTTATGCTTTAAAAAGTTTTAGTTTTGTTTAGTGTATGGAAAATCCAGGATAATTCCTGCAACATTTTTCAGGGGAAGTCTCAGGACAGTGTCTCTGAAAAGAATGGTAGAAGATCTTTAATGTATAAATCATAGAATCATGGAATGGTTTGGGTTGGAAGGGACCTTAAAGCTCATCCAGTTCCAACCCCCCTGCCATCAGCAGGGACACCTTCCACTAGACCAGGCTGTTCAAAGCCTCATCCAACCTGGCCTTGAACACTTCCAGGGAGGAGCAGCCACAGCTTCTCTGGCCAACCTGGGACAGTGTAAACCCCTGTTAAGTCTTCAGAGTATGAAGTAGGAAGGTCTAGAGAATGGATACAAGTACCTGTACCAAACCTGTGCTTTTGCCCTTCTGACAGATCTCACTTTGAGGCAAGTGGGTGATCTGTTGTGCTGGTCCCATACTGTGTCTGGGCTCTCTGCTAGGATCGAATTAGCTCCTCCTGGGTGCTGGCAGAAGGTTTTTTGAGGGCATGTGGGAAGAACTGCCTTGAGTCACATCTCTCCACTGAGTGCACAGAGACCACTGTATTGCCAGTCAACGGGAATGCTTTATCTCCAATATTAACAATAAAATGCTGCACGGTGAAGTGGCTGCTGAACTGGGCCTGGCAGCAACATCAGTATCACCGTACAAGTGTAGATGTAGGATGTTCTGTGTAGATGCTTCTGAAGTTCATCTCTGTGTTTAAAAGTTTCCTAAGCATGTCAACTGCGTAACACTGTGCTTGCCAGATGTCAACTTATCCCCTGCCAGTTAACCATCTCTGCTCTGCCTGCTTCTCTAATAGTCAGAAAATGACTCGGAGTGTTCAGACAACCCAGATGAAACTTTGGAGGAACCTTTATAAAAGGGAAAATAAAATATATAATAGATTTTTTTAAAAATAAGCTGATTCCTGGTGCATTTAGTCCCTATAGAACAGTAGTGTCGCATCCATCTGCCTTCCAGTGTGAGGGTTTGAAGACTATTTCTATCACGTGACAAGTCCTCATAAGCAGAAAAAGCCGGAGATTGAGAAATACGTGTGACCCAAAAGCCTCCAAAAACCAATGCAGACAAGCTTTTGGTGGTCCTTGGCAAGCATCAGTTTATGAGATTTTAGCACTTGCCTATAAACCCAGTTTAGCACTGCCTGGGATTTCCTGAGCTGGTTTCTTAATCTGCCTTCTCTGTCTGATACTTCTGCTAATGAGAGTTCAGAAGTTAATTTCTGCTCCAGTTCACTGGGCTCATCAATAACCATAAATAAGAAAGTTTGCCTGGGCAAACCTTTGTAGAGTTGTGTGTTTACAGTGCAGCCACACATAAATGAATCAAGTTTGGATGGTCTGGGGTTTTGTGTGTGTTCTATTTTGGTTTTGTCAGTGTACTTATAACTGATGAATGTGCTGTTTTATTATCTCAACTAGGTCAGTGCGTTATTTTAGCTGCAGTTATAATCGCTGTAAACACTCTAGCTATTTGGCAATAGAAAGTTTTATTACAGATTTGCCTTTCTTTCAGAGTTTCAAGTGAAATAGAGGTGATCCATGAAATTTACTTTACTTTGTAATAATTACGTCTGCATAGCTTACAACATCTGTATGTTATTTCTAATCTATTTGCCATATAATGTTTTCTGTAAAACTCTTAGCACACTTATAGGCGTTATAAAATGACAGCAATGCAATAATGCAATTATTGCATTGCTGTCATTTTATAAATGCAATAATAAATAATAAATGGAATAAAATGGCATTTGGACCCAAAAGTTTTATAAATGCAATAATAAATAATAAATGGAATAAAATGGCATTTGGACCCAAAAGTCAGTAGGAACATGATTTCCCATTATCAGAGCATACACTCAAACCAGAAAGCTCTCCTTTAATCTCTCAGCAGAGCTTATTTTAGCCTAGAGCTGTGTTTGGCGGGGTTGTTGTCTGGCTGTGTTTTGTTGTCAGGTAGGGAAGGGGCACGCTGGAGGAGTGCATAAAGCAGCAGGTGACTCAGCCTGGCTCCCGTGATTTGCACGCAGCTTTTTTTGTTTGAAGCACATAGGTGAAAATGGAGCAGAGAATGCCCCCCACTGCAGAAGTATGATTTATGGCAAAGGCTTTTGGAACAAGTAAAGCTCTAAATACAACTGTTTTTCCTTGAGGACTTTATACTTTTTGTCCTAATTTGACCTTTACGGGGATTGGTGACAGCTGCTCTTGACACACAGTGTCCTGACAAATGGGAGCTGTTGTTTTCACTGGTCTCACTGCCACTAACATAGATGCCACTCAAGACATTCCACATAGAACAATTTATATAAGATGAAGCACAGTTTTGTCTTGTGTTTACCATGTGGACTAAGAGTTCTGGCTTTGCTGCACAGCATCACACACTCATTATTTTATACTCGTGTTTCATAACAGAAATTTAGACTAAAGATGCTGCTCTTTCAAAATCAGCTTGCCTAACACTGACTGCCCTGGACCACGCTGTGTGATGTTTCTGGGGCGTTTGTAACAGCCTTTGCAGTTGCTTCCTGGGATGCAGGAGGTAATTCTTGCTCACGTTTGGTTTCTTGCCTAACACTGCAGTCTCCTTCATCTAGTCCTCACAGCAAAATGGGGCATAAGGAGCCATCCTTTGGGTAACTTGCATGTCAAAAATGTTTGCATCAGGAATTATCTCCTCATGTATTTACATTCCGCATACAGCCTCAGGAGACTTTTATACTTGGCTCCTTGATTCTGGCAGTAGAAAAGTAGTTGTCTTCTAAGAAATTCAGCGTAGTCTCATTTAATTGTTTTCTGTAAGAATCACAGTAGGATTGTTATTAGTTTGATCTGTAAATAGTCCGGTCAAAGACTCTGAAGATGTTTAAAAATATAAATGTGTTGTCCTGGTCTACCCTGTAGGAATTAGAACTGGTGGAGGATGTCTGGAGAGGGGAAGCACAGGACCTTCTTACCCAAATTGCACAGCTGCAGGAGGAGAATAAGCAACTGATGACAAACTTGTCACACAAAGACATTAATTTCACAGAAGAGGAGTTTCAGAAGCATGAAGGCAAGTTTGGTACTTCAAATTCAGTACTTGCTTTTGTTATAAAAAGCAATACTTTATAAAAAATATTTTGACTGGATACTCTGGGTTTTTTCCTATAGACTAATGCAGGTCTGGGTTTTGGGGGTTTGTGGGGTTTTTTTTACATTAATAGAAAATCTCTGCATACATTATGACACTGAAGACATGATAAAAGATGGGGGTAGGAGGGAAAGAAAAGCCTCATCAACTTTTTCTTTGTCTGAGAAGCATCTCTGAAAGTAGAGTCTAGCTTTATTTTTTCATCTATCACTTTTTTTTCTTAGTTTGCATTTTGCAAAAAACATTCTTAATCCCTCCCTATGTTTTCTGATACGAACTGAATAATCCATTCAGCGATGCTTATTTCACAGCATTATGCACAAAAATAAGTGCAAGTGTTGATCTATTCAAGATAACTGTTTGTAAAGCAGCAAATCAAGATTTCTTTGTCTGAATTGTGCCAGTCCACCATATGGAGATATTCCAGGAGAATATAATGATATTCTGCTAGGAGAGACTGTGTTTACTTGGTTTATCTGCCTTCAGAGTTCTCTTACTTGTTTGGGACATACAGCCAATTTAGAATAAGTGAAGAGATTTATAATCCAAGTGAGTGAGTGAATCCTAAAGAGTTGAAACAACCAGTTTGTGCACAACTGCTTTCTTGAGGCAGAATGAAGTTCAAGACATAAGGTTCTGACTTGCAAGTACAGGGAGATTTCACTGCAGCAACTGAAACAATTGCCATCCTCAGCTCACCCACAGCCCAGGGAACAGCTCTTTCCTAAGAGCAGGGGCAGATGAACAGACGTCTCTTTGCTCCACAGTTCATAACACATCATTTGAGGCTGCTGGATACTGAGTCCACTTCATGATACTTTGTTGGGATTTAAGCTGAGAAGTTGAAAAAAATGACTGTGCAGCTTTGGGGATGAGGCAGCCTTGAGCTGAGAGACGGGGCAGACAGCTGAGAATGGCAACAGCGTCACTCCAGCAGCAAAACCTGCTTGTGACGGTGAGTCAGTCTGCAAGTGAGTGGCTTTCTGAGCTATTTGCACATGGACAGGACTCTGGTCCACTGCTTCACATCACAGCTCCAACAGCTCCACTTCCATGGTATATTCTGATTGTCAGTAAAGTCATGGCTCCCTCAAAAGGTTAGTAACCTGTGTGTGGCGTGCAAAGTCACTGGCCAGTCTGAAAACCAGACCACACAGCTGAGCCATTGCAGATCACCAGTGAAGTATTAGGAACAAAGGGATATCCTTTTCCAGACACTGGAGGTTGGGATTAAATGGGAGTTTGCTGTAGGTGAATGAAACTTTGTCTAACCCTGCAGAAGTTGCACTTGCTTCCACCCAGAGGCCGAGTATGGCTCACTTGCCCTGGGGAGGAGTATAATGAAATCTTCAACAAGTAAAAATTGTTAAACCTCTCAAGATCAGCACTTTTTAAAAACAAACACAACACTTTCAACCTAGGAGTCAATTAATGGCAAAGAAGTAGCTCAACATCAGCCTTACAAACTCCATACACAATTTCAGAATGGCAGTGGTGAGTCACAGACCATGAAGACTATGACATCATGTTATAAAGAACCAACTTCCCCTTTGTTTTCTCTTCTTTTTCTTTCTTTTTTTTTTTTTCCTTCCAGTAGGTATCTAGCTCACTGCCACTCATGTGCTTGTATTTAAATATAGCCATACTCTTCACATGCAGCTAGCCAAGCAAATGCCTGGCATGCTTTTCATGTTATTTTTACTGTGTCTACCCAAGTATAATAACACAAACAAAACCCATAAACCCATGCCAGAGATCACATTCTGGGATCACCCATATTCTTTGGTAAAAAATCATCAGTTTAAGTCAAATCACATTAATTTACAGCAACCTCATCTTATTATTGGGACCTATTATATCAAACCCAACTGTTTTCCTTTTAGGAAATTTTGTCATTAATGAATGGGGATGGATTTATCTCAAATCACTTGTTTGGATAGTGTCAAAAAGCAGTCATGCTGCTTTTTTTCAGTCTCCATCATTGGATCTGATACATACAGAGTCTACTGAGGCAGGTTTTCAAGCTAAATACTTTGTTAGCTGGACTAACTTTGACCAGACTCCAGTCTTCACATCTCAGCATGATTTAGTACTGTGGTCATGTCTCCCCTTCACGGCTCGCCCCTGGGATTAACAGTTTGCTGCTTACTCACCAGACAGTTACAGGAGTTATTTTTAGCACAGGCAACAGGGGCCAGTGACTTGGGTGTGCAAGACTTTGAGATTAAATCTGTGCCAATTAATAGTCACATCAGAGTTCACTGAGCCCCACTTTAGCATAACGAAGGTGTTTGTGAGTAGAGGCAGATGCAATCCTACCTAAACACAAGTGTTCTGCAGAGGACACCTGCTGAGAGTCTGAGCAGAACAGGGTTCACATGAAAGGACATGTGACAAAATACAAAATACACAGGAGAGGTTAAAGATGGGTCTGCAACACCCATTAATGCTGCTCCTCCCAAGCTCAATCTTTGCAGTACTTGATAGCGCTGACTGATTGGAATATCCTAGTAATGTGCCACAAGCAAACCTGACCCAGTGTGTGTCAAACAGGACGAGCAGGCAGGGGAGCTGCTGTCTCAGACTGGCTGTGCTGATCGAGGTTGTGTGAACCTCTTGCACTAGGCTGCTGAGGAACCTACAGTTCCCTTTCAAAAGGGGAGGCAAACTTCTATGCTGAATATTTAGGTAGGAGTGTAGTGCCACAGGCCCTGGCTGGCACTTCGGCCTGTTGTGATAGATGTATCAACACAACAGTAAACAGGTCCCTAAACATAAATATAAAGATGTTTGAGGGTTTTTTTTCTGTTTCTTTTAATTCTTTCCCCTTTTTTTTCAGCTGCTTTCCTTTCTCTTGCTCAAACAACGCTGTGATCACAGCAATATTCACAGGAAGCTGCTCATAGGATGTGCCTAGGGAAGCCGGCTGGGTGTGCCATTTAAGATCTTGCAGATATTAGACTTTAAATCGTTTAAAGATAATTACTTTCCATTTAGGGCACTTAGTGATTTCCCTCTCCTCTTCCCCAGTGCCTGAGGAAATGGAAGTTGTGACTGTTTCACAAGCACTTCCCACCTTTCCTTTCCCCTCCTCCTGAAATAAAAAGGATAATGTAGTGATCTGTGCACACAATTGAAGTCACCACATGTTAGAGAGAAAAATGAGCACAGCGTGAGGAAAACCAGTCAGCACTGAAGTGGTACTTTATTCTTTAAATAGCACCTGCTATCTTGAGATCTCAAAGCATCTCACAAGTACATAGAATATAGCTGCACTCACTATTCCCAGCTCCTACTGGGGTGAAACTATCAGTCTAAAGTTTCACAGCAGTCCCTCTGTACTTCAAGGCAAAGTTTTGGATTATTATTATTTTTTTTTAAATACAGCTGATGTTTTAGGCTCCAGCCCTGAGACTGGCTGCAGAGGGTGGATCCAGGAACCTGTAGTGGGGTTGTGGATACAGTAGTGTATCAGAGCTGTTGTGATAGAAGAGTGTGGATCTTCTAGAAAAGTTAAGTAGCAGTATGTGCCAGTGTCTGCTTGTCCTCCCTGGTTGGTATGAGCTATAATCACAGCAAAGAATTAAAATTATCCTGCAAAGAACTAGAACCTAGAGCAGAGAGATGATAAGGACCAGGGTCCAGAAATAAAGCAAACAGACTTACCACAGAATTAAAAAAGATGAGAATGTAATACTAGAATGAGAACACCATGGCACTCAGCTGTTTTCTGGGGTTTGTCAGGAGCACGTCCTCTGAACCAAATTCCCAGCCAGCCATGATCACCAGTTCTTTTCCCAGCAGAACAGTTGCCTCTTCTCTGCTGTACCACAGCTCTGGTCCTTTAGCAATGAGGGATCAGAGCTGCTGTGCTCCCTGTTTGCCTGATTCTACAGATTATCACACAGATAACCAAGCTCCCTGGGGCACAGTGTGAACACTGATGTAAAACTACTGAGGCAGCAAGACATAGCAGTGTCACTCCATTGTCATAAATGTTTCTGAGGACTGTCAGTTCCTTTTTTAAGGAGTTTCTGTGCAGTGGCTTTATGGGGTGGATTGTGTCATCTGTGTTCCCTGTTACCCTTGAAGTAACCTTCAAAGCATCTTCCAACAGCTTTTCTGTAATTCTACCAGCAGGCAACTTCCACAGTCTTTACCTAAATATTTCTCACTGTTGTCAGTCTCAGCAGCTCCTGATTGTCCTTAGTTTATTTTCTGTGTTCTTTTTTTAACCAGGAATGTCAGAGAGAGAGCGGCAAGTCATGAAGAAGCTGAAGGAAGTGGTAGATAAACAGAGGGATGAAATCAGAGCAAAGGACCGCGAACTTGGACTTAAAAATGAGGATGTAGAGGCTGTAAGTGGCTCTCAGTCTTCCTAGTTCTCTTCTTTCTCACCCACGCTTCCATAGCCTGGTTTCAAGTTTTAAGTTAATGTAGAATTTATAAGCAATGCCAGATTATTAGTCCAGTGACTGAAGTGTCCAGCATAACTTTGGAGTGTCCAAAATGGTTAGGTAGTGTTCAGTGCAGACACACACCATCTGCTGCCTTCAGAAGGACCAGGCACACTTGGAACGTGACTGGAAACCAGTGTAACAAGAGAGGAGGAAGGGCAGGTTGTTTTGTTTGTTTCCTTAAAGACCTGACACCTCTCCCCTTTCATGGGAACAGGACAGGTAACTTTCTCTGGCTTCTTGAATCTCTCTCTGCTTTGACAGTGCAAACTTCCTCAGCACCCCAGTGCCTCACTCCACTCCACCCAGAGATCCCTGCGGTACATGAGCAGGTGACTCTCTGTTTTACGTGCTCTCTGCAGAGTTTGGCAGCAAGGACAGCACACACACACTCCCACACAGGGATGTGATGTGTCCTCTTTGCATAGGAAGGGGCCTGAGCCCAGCCCAGGTCACTTCCTTTTGCCAGCAGTGTCACTGAGAGGATAAGTGGCCCTGGGGACCACAGCACAAGAGTTTAAGGACTAAAGGGTTTAGTCTTAGATGAATTACAGACTCCACTGTGACTTTGGGAATCACATGATGTCTTGGTTCTTTCTGTGTCAGGAGGAATGACCTCCTTACCCATATTTTGCTTCCCATCCTTACGCTGCCTCATCTCCTTAGGCCATGGGACTTTTCTGGTGCTAGTGAGGGCCAGACCTAGATGATCTCTGTTCTACTCACAAGCTTCTGGCAGGCGCTGCGGCCTTTCAAATGGGAGCTGTCCACACAAGACCCCGCAGGTCACATCCTGCCTTATGAGAGAGACTAAGAGCTCAAAGCAAAGTACTTATAAATTGAATACTAAGGATTCCTCTATCTTGTCTTTGTCTCTTCTACTCTGGGTTAAGATTTGATTCGGAATCCCATAAGCCACCCTGTCCTTGAACTTTGTTTGAAACATAGTATCAGCAGTAATGGATTTGCTTTTAGGTGGAGAATTCCCTGTGCTAGGTGAAAAAATGTCTCTTTACTTTGGAAACCAATTAAGTTTTGGTGACTGCAACTGTAGTAGATAATTAGATATAAGAAAAAAATAATCTAGGGGTGAGGAGGAGGAGGAAGGGGGAGAATTTTCCAGATTCAATTCAACAGGAACCCACTACTTTTTCTTTAACATAATGTTTGGGACTTGGCTGTCATGGCTGATGGCTGAATGGATGCTGACCTATTGCATCAATGTTTTGCAGCTTCAGCAGCAACAGAACAGGTTAATGAAAATTAACCATGACCTGCGGCACCGGATCACTGTCGTTGAGGCTCAGGGGAAGGCGCTGATTGAGCAGAAGGTGGAGTTAGAAGCATATCTGCAAACCAAGGAGCAGGAGATGGGCACCCTGCGAGCAGAGCTGGGGAAACTGAGAGAAAAACTGCAGGGGGAGGACAGCCAAAATGGGGAGGAAGTAAAGGTAAGAGGCACTTTAAATCACTTTTTAAACAGCCTTTTAAAAAGCTTTGGACTTCATACCCAGTACCTCTTCTTTGGATAAATGTGATTGGTACACACTGGAGACAATGGTGGGACTCGAGGACAGCATCTTGTGTTCAGGTGTGACATACAGAGAGCAAGGTCACACACTGCCCTGTGACAGGAAATCCCTGTTAGGATGGATGATGTCCCAGTGGAACAAACCAGTTGCACAGGAGGCAGAGTGGCAGCACGGGTTAGCACTGGGATGTCTGCACTAGAGAACAGCTCTCCCCTTGGACTTGGCTGCCTGTTGTGCATCCTGGGGAGTGTAACCTTTGGGTCATGCACTAGGCTGCAGAATTTGCCAGATACCAGAACAAATCATGGCTTCAAAAGAGAATATTCTATTAAAAACATCAGTTTTTAGTCAGCAAAGCAATCCAAAATCTCTGGAGTGTCAGCGGTTAGTTTGTATTGGAGGCACATCGTGTTTTGGTAGTGCTGTATTAATTAGTATGTTTGGGTTCATTTTGTTTGTACACATCAACCCCTTCCCCTAAAGTAAACCAAACTGATCCCTTAACAGTCTGGGTTTTCCCAAAAGATAAACAGCTGACAAGTAGCTTAAGCCTTGGTGACTATGCAAATCTGTGAGCCCTGATGGGTGCCAAAGGTGCAATGCACAGTGATGGTGGTGGCATGTCAGTCACAGGAGAAAATAAATTGTGTCAGAAGGGGTCCCAGAGGCAATGCAGAGCTTGGCACACTTGGTCCTTGCAGTGCTTATGGCACTTCTGATCTGTCAGGACTAAGCTGGTCTTTTGCTACCAAATCAGCTTAAAAATATTTGAAGGGACTTCTTAGAGGAACCAACTTTGGCCTTATTTCTGCTTTTGCTTCCTATTAGAATTCATGCAGTGAAGTGTTACCATCACAAATGTTCACGAAAAGCAAACGTTACTGCTTGTGTACTCAAGTACTTGCAGGAAGAGGCAAAGTGACAATCTGCAAATGGAGTTGGTGCTGAGATCAGAGCAGTAGGAGCACAAACTTGAGGGGAGCTTCCCGAGGAAAAAATGCATCTCTGACCTGTGTCATCCCTTAGTCCTCTTTATGGTTCCTATTCTTTTTCTTTGTGCATATAACACGTGCTGTATTTCCCTCTCCTAATGCTGCTCTTAGAAGAGTATAAAACAGGACAATGGGTATCATGATGTGAAAGAACTTAGAGGAGCATTATCATATCGAGTTGTTTGGCTGGATGTGTTGGTAGAAGCTCCAGTACCAAGGGGCTTTGTAAATGCCTGACAGACTGCAGCAGAGAGTGAAACATCCAGTTCACTTGTAGCAGGCAGGAATATACATCAAAACGCAGAGGCAAAGGCTGATGGGGTACTCTGGTCCCCCCAGGAATCTGACAGCCAGCATTGTGTTACCATGTCACTGCTGAATTGGGCAAGTGCTGTATTAATAATGAAAAGGATGATTTCATTGCTGTGAATTCAGCCAGGACACCCAGCTCTGTAAACGGGGCTGTGGAGCCCAGGCCTGGAGCCAGCAGGAGTGAAAGTATCCTCAGTCTCTGGAGAGAAAGGATGTATTCTTTATCTCTCTCTCACTCATCAGTTCCGTGGATGTGGCGCCTCTTCTAATTAGAGCCATTCCCCGCTCCGTGCCGGGACGATGGTGAGACAGGAATTGCATTGGCAAGCACAAAGCTGGAATAGCTGCACACTCTGGAATGGACATTGCTTGTTGGCTTCAGTCAAGTACATCTGCATTGGCTACAGGCTGTTCAGTCTTTGCTGATTTGAGCAAAATCTAGCAAAAATAGCAGATTTGGGCAAAGGTGTGGGGCAAATCCTCAGCTCTGTGCAGCCAGTGAGTGGAACAACAGTAGAGGACCTGAACGATGGTCTTGTGTGTGCTGTGTTGGTACAGACCACGTTTTCACAAGCACTCAGGGACACATAGTTCTGTGCAAGCGATGGAGTTTACCTAGGTGACAGGAAGTGGCCTCACAGGCCTGGGAATCCAACCATGTGCCTAGAGTGGAATTTCTGTCTTCTTGGGAGCCACAGAAACTGGGTGGTAGGAGACAGAATTCCTCCAAGCTTCCCGTGAACCCTTCTCAGAGGAAGAGACAAGGGCACACGTGTATAAATGCCTCATCTGCAGTTTTCTTCCACTTTGTAGCTAGATCCTGGTGCTAACACCAATCCTGCTTTTTTAATAAAGGCATTAAGGGGCTATAAACTTAAATCTCCACTTCATATCTTTTTCTGTGTTTCTCTTAAAAGAGGATTTAATATTGCTGAAAGGAAGAGATTGGGAACTAGACTGATAAATACTTTATAAACTTCTCAGACATGCACTCACGTGGTGAATGTAAAGCCTGTGTTTCACTTCCTAGACAGAACCAAACAATGATGACTGCCTCTCAGAGTCAGAAAAGATGGCACTGGACTTAAAAGATCCGAATCGTCCAAGATTCACCTTGCAGGAGCTCCGGGATGTCCTTCATGAGAGGAATGAATTGAAATCTAAAGTATTTTTACTTCAAGAGGAGCTTTTATATTACAAAAGGTAGGTTAGATCTCTCCTGTTGCAGGCTATACACAGAGGAGCCATAGGGCAGATCTAGAAACAATAAATATGCTCTTAAATAGTGTCCAAGAAGCTTAAATATCTGCAAAGGCTTAGAGATGGTGAGCATACAGCTTTAGTTTGAATCTGATTCCCCAAAATTGGGAAAAACTATGTCCTTCCTTAATTCCCAGGTCCCCCCTGAATCTTAAAAAGATTACAAACATTGAATACTTTTGAGCTTCAAAAATGAGGATAAAAGTGGGTCTAAAATGACAATTCTAGAACTTGTATTCAGTGTATTCCTCTTCTCCCTGTCACAATGGGAATAAAATACTGAAAGGAGACCCAGTTCTAAGTGCTGTTCCTTGGTTGACAGGAAAATCTCCCATTGATTTCAGTGAGCTTGGAACAGATCTTTTTGCATTTCTTCACCAACAGGACTACCTCAGATTTAATTTTAGAACTTAAAGTGCTTCCGTGGCTTGGGAGGAGAACATTAAGTATCTTTTCTTTCTTTCAAGTGAGGAAACAGAAGAAGAAACTAGATCCCCTCAACCTACACCCATAATTCAGTCAAAACCTGCAACTCAGCCTGAATCTGGAATCAAACGACTGTAAGTAGCGTATTTTCTAGAGATACTGGATATACTCTGCAAATATTAAATGTTTCTTAAGGGCAGGACAATTTTAAAGAATTTAAAAATTAAAATGAACACATCCCTACTCTATATGGGAAAGATATTGAAGGAGCACTTGACAGATATAATGAAACAGCAGTTGGTGTTGGGAAAACTTTTGCCTAGTTCTGGCTCAACTTTCAGTCTCAGGTGATTTCCTGTGGTACCTTTTGCTCCCCACGTGCAGGCAGCAGTAGGGAGTCCAACTCCATGTCCTTGTGTTTCTGGGCCAGACCAGAGTGCCCAAGAAGCTCGCTCCAGTTCGAATGTTTTCTCCTCAAGTACACTATCCAGGCTAACCAAGAGAGCATGTGTTGTAATGTTTTATTATAGCTGATATGAGCTGGTGAGCTCTTAAACACAGACACCTGATCTTCCTAGAGAATTTTCTTGTCTGGGCTACATAGTCATACTCCAAAGGGAGGTGCTAGTAACTGTGGTCTTATCCAGAGCACTGCTCAGCCTCTCCTGTGTGCCCAGAACTGAAGTCATGGCCAGATCTATGTGCAAGGATTGTAGGAACAAAGCTCCTGTTCAAGTGCAGTTCCCAGTTCCTTAACACACAGATCCTGAAACCACTGGTCCCCAGGTCATCCTCAGAAGAGTGTTGTTCACAAGTAAAACCAGCAGCAGGTGGGCATGGAGAGCAAGGTTTCCCCATGACCTTGCTGTGCCTGTTTCCCTGTTGCCTTAAGCCTTTAGACCCCGACTTGCACTATGTGTGCAGCACAAAACCCTTTTGTTTGCTGAACAAATTCACTGCTGGAGAGGATGCCAGCTCTCTTGGCTGTAAAGAACCCCACCTTCTTCTGGTGAAGTATTTAATGTTGCTGTCTGAAACCCTAAGCTTACTGTCAGAGGTGTGCATTTACTAGTGTATCACTTAATTATAAAATCACAGTGTTAGCCAATCCATTTGTCTGTTGAAAGTCCCTCCCTGTATATTTATTTATAACAAGTCTTTGGATTTTTGTGATACTGCAAACTTAATTTTTATAACTGCATAAATGATTTTGGAACAGTCATTTGTTTCCACATAAAAAGCTCTTCCCTCCTGTCCCCATGTCCATAACCTTCAGTCCTTGTTTAATAACAGCAGCAGCCCTGTGAGTTCCATGGGAAGATCTGGACTGATCCAAAACACCATAAAGTCAGGAGGGCACTTTTGATTATTTTCAGTAGTATTTCACAAGATCTCCACTGTAAAGCTTCTCTTTTCTTTTAAATTTATTTTAGTACTTTTTAAAGCTTATCCTGTTGGGGAGGGTGGTTTCAGCTTACGCAGTTTGTGTTGATTGCAGTTTCCACACTTGATTTATGAAGCAAAGGCAGCATAAAAATGTAAACAGATGTTGTAAGGCAGAGCACATGCTGACGAGGTATTAGCTTTGACTCTGCCTTCTGCGTACAGGAGTAAGTGACACAGGGAGCCATGGCAGGAGGCACAGAAGTGTTTTCAACCACTTCTCTCAGCACTTTCTTCCTCTCAGTTAGTTTATCAGTGAAAACCTGTTGTGCATCAGACCATTCAATCAATGCACATTTTCAGACACCTGTCTAACCTTTTTGTTTCTCAGATTCTGTGTTAAATTCGTATAACTAAAACTGAACAAAATAAAACTTAAAATCATGTTGGTTTGGCCCCTTTCAGAAAAGGCAGGAGTCCTCATCTGCCAGGCAGTGGAGCCACATATTAAACCTGCTGTTAAGATGAAGTTACTTTCTTTAGCTGCCATGCTCTGTCCCCAGGTTTCTTTCTGCTCTCTCTTCATTTAACCATCACATTAAATAAGGGAAGACAAAGCTGTCCTGAAGGACGGTAATAGCTTTCAGGTTTGTCTTATTCTTGCAGCCTGTCTGGATGGGATTTGTCTAGTGTGGGTTTATTTTCTCTCCCCTCTCCTCTCTGTGTGTTGGCAAGAGTGTGCTTGTAGATGGGTTTTAATAAGACAGGAAATTTAATTGCTGTGAAGAACAAAGAACAAAGTGTAGCGTCTGTTCTCTCCTGTTACAACACCCCTCCTGCCCCACAGGAGGTACCTGGGGTACCCCACTGGCACATCAACTCTCCATACCCAATGATGTGAGGAAAACTTGCAATGCTGATATCTGTGTGCAGAGTACTTTTATGAATGGAAGTGGGTTGCTTTTCCCTCCGTTTCAGACTTTTCCTCCTGATTAAACAAAAAAGTAAAGTACAAAACTAGGAGACACTGTCGCTGCCCTCTCAAGAGAAGTTTTACTCTTGCCTGTGTAATGTGCCCTTTCCTTTGACCACGCGGCATCTCAATGAATGAAATGTGTGTATACATAGCCTGGGCCATCTACGGTGTGCTCAGGTGATTGTGTGCTGCATCCCCATAAAGAAAGGAAAACAGAAGTTACAAAAAATCAACATTTTTTCCCTCCCAGGGTTTGCACATTTAGGGCAGAAATCTTGAGTTCTGATCTCAAAACTGCTTGACTTCGACATTTGTCTCTGCCACATCACATGCCAGAGTTTTGATGGAATAATGTAAGCAGGAGGCTTTACTGAGGAAGAAAAGCACAAGGATTAAAAATGCTCCCTCTGTTTGGAGCAGAAAACGCCCTTTTGTTTTCTCGTTAAGGATCCGTGCTTGTTTGTCACTGATGTAATGCCTGAACCAGCCACAAGTTTTCTTCCTGTTCTTGCAGCCTACAAAAGCTGATGTGTCTGTCTCATTTCTGCAGCTAACGGACCGTGCCACAGTGCATAAAAATAGAAGTTGTAGCTACTGCTAATGATACAACAATGTTTGCTTGTTTGTTTTCATTTTGAATCTAAGAATAGCAGTTAGAGTGACTGTGTTGGGGAGAGCTGCTGTTTGGTCACAAGTGAAATGTCTCTTTCTGATTTCAACTTAATCTTTAATTGACATTAGTCCACAGTTCAAAAAAATATTTGGCACAAGGGAGAACCTCTGAGGAGAATCCTTAGAAAAACAGAGGGTGTTCCAGGTATGGATGCAGGTGTGTTGGCAGGTTTGTGTGGGGCTGGCTGGGCACAGAGCACCTGGCCAGCGTGCTCTCTCAACCTCTAAGTTGCATGTATTTGTATAATGCGTAGTAAAAGTGCCAAACTCTTACAAAGAAGCAGTCTTGCTGCTAGCCAGCTAGAAAGTGTTTCTGCTAGAGTAGCTGCAAGGTTTCAAATAAGTATTTAGCTGCCTGCAGTTGGCATCTTTCTGCATGTGAAGCAACGCAGGTTCTTTTGGAGCAGATACACAGGCCCTTTAACCGAGTAGCTTGCCTAGGAGGTTAAGATTTCACCTGCCATACTGGTTTTTAACTTGAAACTGTCAACTGTAACGTTTGTAAAATCTTTAACTGTAATGCTGGTCCTGTCTAACTCTGTTTTCCGTGCAAATACCCGGTAGTCACAGCAGAGTCCTGCTCTGTATTTCTTAACATACACCTTCATCCTTCATTTCATTATGTATGTGCCTGTTTGTTTCTTGGGAAGAACAATGTGCACTCTGCTCTGCATTGCTAGAGGTGGTAATACCTTGATGAAATCCAACCCAGATTGCAGGCTGCCTCACAACAGAAAAGTGGTATCTTTTAGAAATTCAAAAGCAATTTAAACTGTTTCAATGACTGCTTTTTCTAAATAAGAGTTTTTCACTGAGGAGAGCTGTCTTGGGTGATGCAGATCCACCTCTCCCTGTAACATGTCCTGTGTGATAATTCAGAGTAACCCCGTGTATCATGTTTGCCTCTTTTCTTTTTAATGGAATGCTTTTTCTTTCCTTTGCTCCAGTCTTACCTCTTCTGTGTCTGTACTTTCCTGACCAGGATCTTTACAGCCATAATGCCCATGGTAGCAGCTGGATTGATTCCAGACGATCCCACATTGCAGCCAATAAGAAGACTTGTGTCCCTTGTAGGAATTTTTTTTTTTCAAATGTTTGGTACCGTGGTTTCCTTTTGCATGACCCTGTGTTAACATACACTCACTGCTGGTTACATTCTCATCGGCTGCCTGTGGGATCACAGAAGAACAAAGTGCCAATCAGAATGACCAGTCAGTACACAACTGATCCTAGTCCTCCATGCTCATCCTCAATATTGACATTTTATCACCTTTTGCCTTAATGTTACCATGCTAAACCAGTTGTTATTCCTTAGAAAATTGTTGCAATATGCAATTTTAACCAGCAGCTGTTAATTTTGCTTACTAAGCGTGCCTATTCACAATTCACACCAGTGCTTTTGAAGAAACCCGTGTCATTCTAATGACTTGTTACAAATCAGTTTGTTAGATTTACAGAATGTAATGGCTGATATCTACATTAATTTCCAGTGTTAATTATAGGCTGTTGTTTCCATGTCTTTCTATCTATGCACTGTATATTTTGTCTCTAATTATGTATTTTGGAATAGAGTCTACACTCTCTATAATCAATTCTATCATCCTATTCTTGGCTGTCCCTGGAAGACATACAGATAATTGCTAATGCAAACTCTCTTTGCATTAGAACTGCTGCTTTAGTGATCTTTACATTTACAGCAGCGACACAATATTTAAATTCCTTTCCTCTCCACACAGATGTGCTTTTCCAAACATCCTCCATGAGAGTTTTCTAGGCATAATAACAACTTTTGTTGTTTCAGAAGGGATTAAAAAAGCCTAACCCTTCTGCTTCGTGTAGAGATTTTTATGAACATATTTTTCTCTTACTTAATTTCATGATAAAGTGAAAAATTACTGATCTTTGACATTTGAAACTTACTGCAAAAATACAGTGGTCCTTTGTGTGGCCTTCAAGATCCTAAGCCTGACCATGCAGGAGCAAACATGCTCAGCAGAAAGCCTTCTGTTATCAGCTGGAATTGGATCTGGCCCTGAAAAGACATAGCATATGTGTGTGAATTTATGAGCTCCTGTGATGATGGTGGTAGAAGAGTATGAGGCTAATTAAGTGCAAAAGACTTATTTCACTATTAAGGTTGCACATCTGAAGACAGGAAATGCAAAAGTTCAGGTCCTGCTAGCAACATTAGTTATCGGGCATTGCACTTGTGTAGCTTTTTTAAAATCACTTTCCAGTCAAGAAATAATTATTAATATTCTTAATAATTATCATCATGCTTACCTACACATATGATAGGATATTTTTTCAGGCAAGCTGACACTCAAATACAGCCTCCTATGTGACTAGAGACATAGAAGGCAGAACTCCCTGCTCTGCTCAAGGCGGCTTGGACGGTTGGGATCACGGTACTGAGGGAAGACTCAAGGGAGTGTGAGTGGAGGAAGAACGCTGAGGACAGTGGGGCGTGGACGTAGGGTCAGGTTCATGCCCTGACAAATATTCCAACACCTGGCAAAGCTCAGTTTCTATTTGCATAGTCTCTTACTGTAGAAGCATTTAGCAGTTCCTGTCCTGGATCAGAACTGCATTATCCTTGGTACTGTGCAAGCAAAACAGTATTTACCTCCTAAAGTGCTCCTTTAAAAGCAAAAGGGTAAGCAGCCAACTCCAACCTTTGGTAGCTGGAACCACAACTTTTGCATTTCTCAGGAAACCTAAACACTGCACTAACACCTCTTGTACTGAACTCATGCTGAACATTGAATTTGCCTAATCAAGTAACTTCATCCTATACAAACAAGACAATACTAAGGCTTTTTCCAACTCTATTTTTTTAGCTCTGTTGTCAGCTGGCAATTGGTTGTTGTATTAAATGGCTGTTGGTTCACGTACGTCATTATCTTAGAGCACCCGAGCTGTGTGACAGGAAATGACGTGCACGCTCGTGTGCATTTCTTCAGAGCCTTCATCCTGCAACTCTTGTGCACAATACGTGCATTTATTCATTTATTTTTGCAGGAATCAAGTCTATGTATCAAAATCTGTACATTTGATAAAAATGTGGAGGCTTGTTTTCTTATTTTATGAATGTCCCTGCTGACACCCTGAAAAACATTCTCTATTTCTGCTTTATGGTAAATGATACAGATTTAATGCCAAAGATACCACTTTACTTATGCCAAGAAACTAACGTGTATTGTGTTGCTTCTTTACCTCAGGGCTGGGGAAGGGGGATTATACATCTAAAATGATACCTGCACCTTGTAGAGTCAACAGCATTTAGAGCTTATTTGAAGCTTCCATAGCCAAACCGCTTGAGATTGCAATGACTTCATCTCTAATAACATTTTGACATGCACTCCCATCAGGCTTCACTGCCTTGATTTTTGCAGATGCAAACAGATTTTTTTGCTCTGTGTTTTGTTGTGCTGTGCATCGTGTCGGGTGTTTGAAGTGTTTTTAAGATGCTAAACAGTCTTCTTTCTTTTCCCTCCCCTCCTTTACTCCTCCCATCCTGGAAGGTTTAGTTTCTTCTCTCGCGATAAGAAACGTATGCAGGCATCACAGAAAAATGTCCACTTCCAGGATACTTTTGGAGAATGGTCAAATTCAAATAAAGATGACTCCTACACCGAACAAGGACAAGAAGCCCTGCAGCACCTGTGACTAACACCTTGAGGTGTTCAGTTGACCGCTGTAGATCTCGACAGTCTAGTAACAAGAAGCTTCTGTAAACAAATCCGGCAGCTCATCACTTTTCTTTGCCTTGCACACCTCGGTGGTTGTGTGTCAGATGTACTCTTCAAAAGGGATCCCTCACTGTTTACTTGGTGACTGTTTGCTGAAAACAAAATCCAAGCTTTGTAGGAACAGTCACTGATACCCTGAAGGACATCGAAGCTTCTAGATGACTTGTTTTGTGCTGAATAACAAGTCTATGGTCTTGTTCATGCATTAACTACAGTAACACAAGCTTCTTTAAACCAAAAAAGAAAAGGACCTGTGCCATTATTAGAAGTTTGTTTGCAGTGTACAATATCTAGTGGCAAAGACTCTTTTACCCTGTTTGTTAACACTATCAGTTGTTTGCTTTTTATTTCTGTAAGAATTTTTTCAAGAGGGATACGACAGCTGGCCACTCTCTGTGACAGGTCATAGCGCTGCCGTGTCCTGTCCAGTTCAGTTGGCATCTGCATTTCGCAGCGTAACCACTTGGAAATCCACCTGATACACATTGATAAACTGGAGTAGCCTTGTGAGGGATAGTAAGTGTACATCTCCCTTGCTGCTTATAGTGCCTAAAGCATGAAGAAAGTGATGTATGAGGTGAGTGTGCCTTGCATTTTGCCATGAGTTCTGCGGTATTAATGGAAAACAGATTGCTTACGTGGAGGAATTCTAACACTTGAATTTTTTCCTTCTTACCAGGGATTTCCCCCAGAGTAGCAGAGAGCTGCTCTAAAGGAATTAGGTCTCTTTCCCACAGACAGGTTTTTAATTAAGTCACACTCCACTTCTCTGTCTAGATAAGACTGCCTGACTTCAGAGTGAAAGACATCCTCAACTAGCTGACACAAACCATCTGCACTGACCTAGAGATGGTGTTTCCTGTGACCAGTCTGAACACTACTTGGGCAGAGCAGATGAGTTCTGTATGTGCAGGCTGTGGTTGATGTTTGGGCAGCCTGCAGTTACAGGCGCTTAACTTGCCACAAAAGCCCAGCACAGCTGAACTGCCAGGAGGTGGGATTGAGATCCGCTTTGCCGTTGAGCTTGTGAGACCCCTGGGTCTGACTGAGGTTGTACCTACAAAACCCATGACACTAAAGCCCCACGTGGTGTAACTGTTGTGTAGAGTTCGGTGTCAGCGTGCACCCTGCCTCTGCACCACACACTTCACCTCACTGGGTGGGAGAGGGCGAGCACATCCATGGCTCCATGTGAGGGAGGTGCTGAGGCTGTTCTGGGGACTTGGCTGCTTGCTGGGAGAGTCTGTGCTGGAGCACGGTGCTGCTGGTGAGGAGGATCTCGTTAGCACACAAGGCTGTAAGCAACTTCTGCACGTGTAGGTGAGTGGAAGGGGCTGTGAGCTGCTAGAAATAATGCTCAGCTGGAGTAAAGCTCCAACTACTCCAGGTACTGACTGCAGGAGGAAGTCTGGAAGGACTCCTAGATGAGAGCCAGGCAGAGGTTTTAGTGCAGGCCACTTGTTTTTAATGCAGGGCAATCTAAGACTCTGTGGATTCTTTAATGTCCCTAACCCCCCGGTAGTGAAACTGCACCAGGAAGCCATTCTTTGCAACGGTGGGCTGAGTGCTGCTCTGCTCCTGGCTGTGCTCCACTTTGAACACAGACCTTCTGCGTCTTCTCGGTATAGAAAGTGTTTACTGTGCCTCCCTGGTGTCACTGCAGCTCGGGGCAGGGGGGACATGTGGCCTTATATGAAAGACATCTGCATTTGAAATAGCGACAGTAGTGTCTGATGTCAGTAGGAGGCAGATACACTTTTGCCTGGTTACGTTTTGGTAACATATCTTTAAGTTTTACGCTTAAAAGCGGTATCCATAAAACAGCAGCACTTCCCCTTGTGTGAAAAGCAATTCTGAAATGGGGGAAGAGTGTCCTAATTGAATGATACTTAAGTTGCTAAGATCTCATTTCCATATTAGAAAACAAAAATACACTACAGTTATATCAGGCAATTAAAATAAACCATGAACGATGCCTGTGGAGTCTCTCCCTACCACAGTTTACAGTCGTTCAGCACATTTAGAAGAGACGCGGTGATCAGAAACAATGCAAGAATGCAGCAGATGCACGGCCTGAGTAAGCACATCATCACTTCTGACATCAGCTGAGAGCAATGAGCTGGGATAACTGAAATACACAGACCGAACTGTTTTTCCCCAGCACCTAAGCTGGTGTATTACAAAGGAAATCTCCAGCCTAGTGCATGTAAAGCTCGTCCCGCACGCCAGAGCCCCACGCCCCATTGTCGGGTCAGATCTGCAGCCGATCCCAACCAGGGCACGAAGCAATACAGCCTCCCCCCACTCCTCTCTGCAGCCCATTACCTCAAAAATCTAATTAGTTCCCCCTGACCTGCCAGTATTAACCACTTTGCTCCTCGTTCTCATGCTAGAGATGCTGAGTTTATACACTCCAAGCGCCATCGGCATGTAGGGAAGAGTATGGAAAGGTTGGAAGATCTGTCATGTATTGTTTCTGAATATTCAAGTAAAATCTGCTTTTAGAGAAGGGGCCAGGGTGTTGTCAGGTAAGGGGCGTAATAATCCTGTCTGCATTACGCAGGATCACTGACTTTTTTTGGGTTGGTTTTTTTTTGTTTGTTTGTTTGTTTTTTTTCAGTTGGGCAGTAAATCATTTTAACAGTTTAATAAATATTTCTGGAAAACAAGTATTTCTGCAAGACTTGTGTCTTTTTGTTTTGTTTTGTTTTGTGGAAGGTTAATATCATCTCTTCTTTGGGATGCAGCATACAGGTCTGTCTTATTTTCCCTCAAAAAGGCTCATATAATTCTTCATGGAAATAAAGCCTCAGCCTGGGCAAGGTTTAGGGTAAGGCCACTCAGAAGCTGCTGAAATACAGTTTAAAATACATTAGCAAATATTTAGGAACTGTGTATGATGAGAAAGGATGCAGCAGAGCCTTTTCTAGAAAGCACTGTAAGCTCCTCAGCAGATGTGTGTCTGTATCTATACATCCTGGCTCTGACAAAGATGCTTTGCCCTGTTTTCCCCAATTTGGCCACGAGCAGCAGCAAGCCCCATTTCCAGAACGAGATGTAAACCCTGGGCAGGCAGGACTTCACTCACAGAGAGGAGAGGACAGAGACGGTGCAGCTGCAACCACATTTACTCATTACCACATTTACACATTTACCACCCTTCAGTGATTGTCCATAGACTGATCAGCAACACGAGGTGTTTTCTGACCTGCTCACTGCTCTGTAGTGCACATTCCTCTGATAAAAGGGAATGACATCCTCCCATGATGGAAAAAAACCCAAAGATTTCTTATTACATGCTTCTCTCCCACCTCAGAGAACAATTAAGGACATAGTACTACTAAAGATCTCACCTGTCCCAGTGCCTTCAAGAAAATAAAGTCACTTCCCATCGGCTTCTGGTTGGGGCCACATTTTTCAAAAGCTTATGTATTTCACTACTATTTCCTCAGCAAGTGACTATTTCATAAAGGGCACCTGTCTCACTGAGTGAGCGTGGACATCTGGCACATGAGTAATTAAATACAGAGCTCTCTCATGAACCCTAATCCAGACAGTTGGGCATCAAACAAGGTGTGTGCTCAGCTTCAGTGCAACGCCCACACACATGGTGCCTTCCTTATAGAATTCACTGGTTCAGAAACATAAATACAAAAGTTTATTTCCTCTGGAGAACAATTTGACACGTATCTTAATGGCATTAGAAACCAAACGGAACCGCAGAGAGCTTCTAGCAGGCCAGAGTCACGGGTGCAAGACAGCAACAGCACAGCTCCTTGTCCAGGGAACACTGCTCGCAGCCCCAAGCTGAGGGCAACTCCTGCAACGTCGTGGATGTCAGAGCTGACACCGTACCCCAGTGACAAGGCACAGTCACCTAGTGATGCTTATCATCATCTCTTTGTTTCTTGGTATCTCTCTCCCTGCTCCGGTCTCTATCCCTGTCCTTCCTGTCTCTGTCCTTCCTCTCCCTCCCTCTGCTCCTCTCCTCTTTGGAGTCCCTCTCTCTCTCACTTTCACCCCACGCCCGCTCCCTTTCTGGCCATCGCTTCTCTCTGCTCCTTTCATGGTCTCGGTCCCTTGTTCTCCAGTCCCTTGTTCCTTCACGAGACCAGTTTCTTTTCTCTGCTGATCCTTCTGCATAGAAATCATTTTTCATGTTTGGTAAATTGATGGGCTTTCGGAAAGGTCTGTCCCGCCCTCCAAACCGGAGCTGCCCGGATTCTTTTTTGCCTCCAAAACCACCTCCAAGCCTCCGAGGAATCCATCCTTTGAGAGTTCTTTCCAGTTCAAAGTCTACAAAGATCTCGTGTTGATCAATAACCAGCCTGTTGGCATCTCTGTGGGCCTTCAAGAGAGCACGCTCCTCTTTGTACTCAATAAAGGCGTAACCCTTGGAAAATCCTGTGACCAGGTCTCGAACCAGACGGATCTTTCTGATGTCTCCATACCGGGAAAAGACCTCCTTTAACTTCTCTTCTGTTGTCTGAAGATTGAGCCTTGCTACGAACAGGGTGAGGTGAGGATCTCCTGTAACCCCCTTGTTGGGTTCATAGCGTGCCAGCATCGCCCTCCATACGGCGCGGTCGTGGGGCTCCTCGTCTGTCCCATCGATGCTCCCGGCTTTGAGGGGGTCGTACTCCTTCGCTATGGGGGCCCAGTCATTCATTGTCTAGTGCCAAAAAAACACACATCGCACATGCACAGGTACTTTAGGAGGCGCAGGCAGCACGTTCAGCAATTGTTGGTGACTATTTTTCATCCAAAAATCCCCCAAAAGTTGGACAAATGTCAATAAACTGGCTGTTGTTTTGAGTTCACC